GAATAACATGCAGAATAACATGTATTAAGACATTAAATAAGGTAAGTTTTGATTTCACATTCACTTTAAGAATCAGTGCCATTCCCACCCGATCACATTAATCACTCTCTTCATACTTTATTCTTCACCTTGTCTGTTCATCTCACTCCTTCCCTCCTAGTTGGCTTGCCGGCGCCTCGGCATCTCCATCCCTCATAGTCACCGAAATCACTCCCACTTTCGTCTCCCTGCACTCTTGTTTCTCTCTACACATCTCTCTGATGCGGTTAACAGGAATCAAAGCTTTTCTGCATTCTGAGGACTGAGGCAGGTACTTGAGTCCCACAGGTGCTTTTTTTCCCAGCTAACCAATCCCGTCCTCAGGCATAGCTGTCATTCCTTACATAACTCAACCCTGGCACCTGCCCTCTAACTTGGAACAGAGGGAGGGATAGTGAGACCGACAGAATGAGGGAGGGAGGTTAGTAGTGGTAGCTGGTTTTGTTTGTGAGTGAGTGCTGTCTTAGCTGGGGGCTGAAATAGTAGAAGTACACCAAGAGGGGGAACAAAAGCAGCTTTTACAGAAAGTACAGAGAAAGAAATTCTCCACGCACACACACACACACACACACACACACACACACACACACACACACACACAAACACACACACACTCTGCTCTCGAAACCTTCTCTATATTCTGTTCCACTCTCTCTTTTACTTACCTCAGTTTGAGAATGAGAAACAAGAATCATATTATCATAGGAGCACATCCACTCACTGTATCATCTCTGCATATGTGTTTGTGCGAGAGGATGGATTATAGTCTCATAAAGTAGCCCTTCAGTGTCTTATCATCCTCACGGACAGAGAAAACTAATGAGGAACAGAATACAATGAGACACACACGCATAGATACAGATGCACGGATCCAATAAGCTCAGAGCTGCTCGTCTGGTGTTATTCACGTCCTCTCTTATTGAACAGGGAGAACAATAGAGCAGTGTGTGTGTATATCCATCCACACGCACCCACTGGAGACTTTGCACACTTCTGTTTATCAGCGTAAGGGGATGGCCGGCCTCATAGCAGATACGGCGAGTGGTCTAAAATGAATCCCTCAGCAAAAACCAATCGCCTCTCTGAATAGAAGTGTTGTGCTTTACACAAACGTGCACTGTGTGGCTTATCTTTATTTTATCTGGAGCAGAGAAGATAAGCCATGTGTTAAAAAAGACAGGCCAAAGTGTTACAGGCAGCAGCTGAAGGTTTTGAAGCCTCTCTTGAGCCTTTGCGTGCATGGAGATGGTGGAAAGCTCCACTAACGCCCATCTACCATTACATCAGACGCACTTAAGGCTTGGCTAATTATCTCCAGCTCTTCCTTTTCCATTCATTCAATTTAGCAACCGCAACACAGATGCAATGAAGGTGATGTGTACTCATTAATGGACTTTACGGAAGAATATTTCTTGTTTGTGTGGTGGAAATTTCCGTTCACCCATACTGAAATCCTGTGTGATATGTTGCAGCATAGACATATTCAGTTGAAAATCAATGTTAGTTGAATTGCTCTTGCATAATAAAGCAACAAATCACCAAAGCTCAGAAGCTACACTGTTTTGTTTTGTTGATTTTTGACTGTGTTACAGATATAATCATTATTTACATACTGTATGTAAAATAAATAGTAAGAACATAACTAAGAAAATAAATGAATAAGAAATCAATACTGTTATTCAGCAAAGACACATTAAATTGATCAATGTGAAAAAAAATAGTTTTACAAAAATTCTGTTTGAAATATATGTTGTTGTTTTTGTTTTTTTTATGTATTCCATTTATCAAAGAATCAAAAAAAGTATCATGTTTTCCTCAAAAATATTGAGCAGCACAATTGTTTTCAACATTGAAAATAATTAGCAATATTTCTTTAGTAAATCAGAAATCAGAATATATTATGATTTCTGATGGATCATGTGACACTGAAGACTAATGAATGAGTAATGGCTAATGAAAACACAGCTTTACCATTAAAAAAAAAAAATTTTTTTACAATATATTAAAATATCATTTTTGCAATTATATTTCACAGTTTTACTGTTTTTATTTTTGCATGAGAGACCTTTTTCAAAAACAATTAGACTTGTATATGGTAGTGTGTATAATAATAATTTACCTCAGTCACATTAAACAATTATTCACTGAGTAATATAACTGAGTAATATAGTTAATTAGTTTAACTATGCTTTTTTTAGACTTAATTTCATGTGTAGTCACAGGTGTGCATATAAAAGTGACTGATTCAGTCAGATTATCAGTCAGCTGTGTTTTAAAACGAGTCATTCTATTTGTTTGAAGGTAGGACAGTCATAAAATCATCTCGGAGCAGCTGCTGTGGCTCGAAATTGTGCTGAACTCTGTACAGCAATTACAAATTCATAGAATTTACAGCACTTTAGAAAATTGCTATTACAGAAAAGCAGACCTAGAGTAATGACCCCCTGTTGAACAATAGTCATTTCTTTCAGTAAACGTAAACACATCACATTCACAGCAGTGCAGTCATTATCCATCCTCTGCACAACGTTTATTAGATCTGACAACAAAAAGTTAAGCAATGGAGGCACTTATAGGCTGGACGGAATGCCTTGTGCTCTCCAGGAGTCCTTCATTGTCACCAACAGATAGTGTGCGAATAAGAGAAGTGCAGTCAGTTATTTCTTAGTGTTACTTTAGGAGTTTCTCCTCTCGCTCAAAACAATTCACATGCAACACAAGCAGCTTTGGGTGTTCAGAGCGGAGTATTGCACAAGAACATGTTTACCTTGTAAAAATAAACAAAACAAACAAATCGCAGCTTAGCTCTCAAACCGAATGTGTGGAGGTGAAGTGGAAAGGGAGGCAGAAATGAAGTAGTTGTGTTTCCCTGTGGCAAGTCCACAGCATGGTGCGAGGAAGGAGAGCGAGAGATTGAAAGTCAGAAAATAAAAAGAAATGTGGTTGAGGAACATCTCTGTATTATTGATAACAGTGAGAGGATGAGTAGAGTTCTTCTACTTGTTTTTACTTTCTCACTCCCTCTTTCTTTCTCTCTGAAGGTTTGTGGTTTGTGATTGGTATGTGGAGGGTGGAAGTGCTTCGGAGAGCTGGGTGGCTGACAGTGGTCTCCGTCGAGCTCCAAATGCCAATTTGTGAGCTGTCTCATTCCATCTTGACGAAATGTCCTATTCTCTCGTCGGTGCTGTTGGAGGGAGGGGTGGGGTGTGAAGTGGGCTTCTCCTGTGGGAGAGCTATGGCTTCTATCATCCTTATCAAACCTGGCTTCTGCAGTCACACTGGATTTAGCTAACACTTGCTTAATACACTCCTCACTGAGCCTTAGGTGTGTGTGTGTGTGTGTGTGTGTGAGAGAGAGAGTGTGTGTGTGTGTGTGTTTAGGTCTCTGTGTGTGTTACTCTGGGATGTACAGCCAGCATGTGCCGAGGGATTAGCTCTTGTGAGGTGATGCATACATAGTTAGACGTAAGGGAAATAACACACACACACACACACACACACACACACACACACACACACACACACACACACACACACACACACAATAACCTCTGATACCCTGTGCTCTGCAGGAACCTCACATTTATGTGTGTGTGTGTGTGAGAGAGAGAGTGTGTGTGTGTGTGTGTTTAGGTCTCTGTGTGTGTTACTCTGGGATGTACAGCCAGCATGTGCCGAGGGATTAGCTCTTGTGAGGTGATGCATACATAGTTAGACGTAAGGAATAAATGAACTTTTCCACGACATTCTAATTTATTGAGATGCACCTGTATGTGCAATTTCTAATGGCTGTGGATCTTCATAAAGACTCGAGTTATGATTACTACATAGATCAACGTTGCCTCTGTGATTAGTGAATGTTGCTTTGGATGGAAAGCAGCATCTGCCTGCTGAGTGCTAATTAATTTGAAATATTTAAGTTAGGGATATATGACATATACTATATTAACGTTTAAAAATTTGGGGTTGGTAAAAATGTTTTTTAAATAATTATTTTATTCTCACCAAGTCTTTATTTCTTTAATGTCGAAGACAGTTGATCTGCTTAATATCTTTGAGGAAACTATGATGCTTTTTTTCTTAGACGAATAACAATTCAAAAACAAAAAGGACTGCATTTATTTTAAATATATATGTTTGTAACTATGTAAAAGTGTTTAGTGTTACTTTTGATTATTTTAATGTGTCTTGGCCATATAAAAGTAATAATTTCATTCATTACAAAAATTAGTTTTATCAACAATGTAAGGAATGGATATATATCTGTGAATACTCGATATTTAACTATTAATGCTATTTCCCCTATTTTTTACATTTCAGTTACCTTTGCTGTCATCTAATAATTGAATAACAAATTAATATTTTAATATTTTGTATTTATTTACAGCAAAAATTATATAATCTTAATTTAACTTTAAAATATTTTATTTATCAAATATATAAATTAATAATCAGCTGATTGATATTAGACACAATTGTAATATAGTGTATATATTTTTTTTAATTTTCTGGGTAAAATATGTGTATTTTTTAGGATGTTGTTAGATGGTTGGGTGTTCTGGAATATTGATTGAAAGTTGCTTACTGGCCAAAGTTTAAAGAGCCCACTGCCAAGTCTCTATGGTATTTTGGTCCCTCAATGTAACTTGGGCTCCTCCTTAGGTTTTTAACATCAATAAAATCTGATAGCTTAGAAAATAATAGCACACCTTGTTTCAGTAATATGCATAGTTTATTATCATTCATGCCTGTGGCACAAATGGTGCAGAATAAAGTTTAATACCCAAGGTTAGCATAAGATTAGTATGTGAGCTAAAACTAATAATTTTGTGTTTTTTTTTATTCACTGTACATAGTCGGTTTTTTTTAAATACAATGAAAGCCATCTACAAGATGCTTGATAATGTCATCAACACGCATACTGACCTTTGACCTCTCTCTCTGTCTCTGTCCAATCAAAGCTCCCGCATCGCAGAGTGACCTTCTCCACAGCCAATCAGGGACAAGATCTGCAGGATCCCTCTCAGCACAGTTACTATGACAGCGGTCTGGAAGAGTCAGAGACACCCAGCAGTAAGAGTTCTTCAGGACCCCGTATCGGGCCCCTCGCCCTACCTGAAGACCACTATGAACGCACCACCCCAGACGGCAGCATCGGAGAGATGGAACACCCTGAGAACGGTAAGAAGAGGTGGTGTGTCCCCCTCCCTTTTTATCACTCCATCTACTCTCTTTCAGAACAATCTCTTTAGACCTTCCACATATTGAAGAAATGGCTGGTAATGAGCTGCATTGAGCAGTTTTCTTGTATACCCTTCATCACACACACACACACTCGCTTTGCTTTAAAACCAAAAGTACTAAAATAAGGTCAATCTGAATTCTTGAGCATTGCACAAATTTTCTTTATGTGACCTAAATGTCAGAATTTAAGCAAATTAACTACCGATTTGAATATGTTTTCCATTAAAACTTTGTGAGCTTTGTCAACATGCATCTACATATACAAAAACACCATTAATTCCTGGCAAGATATTGAAATAACCCAGTCATATTAGCACACACACACCAAGAAGACCTGATATAATCCTCCTCCGCTGTAGCTGTAGGGAGCAGCTATGAAGTGAGGGAGGCCGCCTCTCCTTTCCGCCTGGGTGGAGGTGCTCCCTAACAGGCCAAAAACCCTCAGCAGCAGCCTCGGAGAGGGTGGAAGTCGTAGCCGAAAGGCAGGCTGGCAGTGAAAGCATTTAGAATTTAAACTACTGTGTAATTCATTAGTGCTGTGTATGTGTGTACACATACAATATAATATTCTGAGTTCAATCCAAGCTGAGCTCAGTAAACAGCACTTGTGGCATAATGTTATTTACCAGAAAAATCAGTTTCGACTTGTCTTTCCTTGTTTTGTTACAGTACAAGGGTTAGTATGATTTTAGTTTTAAAAATAATTGTTCTTAAAAACCAGGATGCATTAAATTAATCAAAATTGACAGTAAAGACATTTACATTGTTACAAAAGATTTCTATTTCAGATAAATGCTGTTCTTTTGAACTTTCAATTCATCCAAAATGTGTTATGGTTTACATAAAAAAATTAAACTGATAATATAAGAAATGTTTCCTGCACACCAAATCAGCATATTAGAATGATTTCTGAAGGATCATGTGACACTGAAGACTGGGATAATGGCTGCTGAAAATTCAGCTTTGCCATTGCAGGAATAAATTACCTTTTAAAATATATTAAAATGCATATATTTAATTTGAATCAAATAAATGCAGCCTTAGCGAGCATATCAAAAACATTAAAGGGGTCATATGATGCGATTTCAAGTTTTCCTTTCTCTTTGGAGTGTTACAAGCTGTTCGTGAATAGATAAGATCCCTGAAGTTGCAAAGACTAAAGTCTCAAAACCAAAGAGATATTCTTTATCAAAGTTAAGACTCTGCCACACCCCCCTAAAACGGCTCGTTCTAACACGCCCCCACATATGAAAAATAATGTGTTTTTTGAACATTAAAGCATGTCAACATATTCTGTTACACCAAATACACAAAATAATGATCTTTAAAAAAGCATCATATGACCCCTTTAAAAGATCTTACCAACCGCAAACTTAATGCATATCCAATTTTACAGCTTCATTGCCATGACACACAAAACATAAAACCTTAAAATGATCTTAAAATGAAAATACCATCATTACATCACAACTAATAAACAGGTATTAACAGGAAAAATTTTAATTAAAATTATAAGTTTATTTTAAATCAAAATAGCGCCAAATATTTATTTTGTAAGTGCCTCACTAAAACCTCAATTTTCATTTTATTTTATTTTATTTTATTTTTTTAAGTATGCCGCAGCGTGTCACAAATGCTTGTATTTAACCTGGAATATATTGTTAAAGAGGTCAGAATGCATGGAAAGAGACACAAACCAATAGCCACAAGTATCAGCTGAAGGAAGGACTCTGAGAGAAAAAGAAAAGAAGTATGACTAAGGAAGTGAGGTGGACTAAGGCCTAAATGTCATGGCTGTCTTCCCACATCAGTGCTTTTACTGCAGCTCCAGGACTGTGTGTGCGTGTCTGCAGGGAGGGTCATCCAGACAGGTCACACTTATGGCATCTGTACACACACAGCTGCACGCCGAAGCCCGTGGCAGGTGCCACCAACCATGAGAGCGCACACATATGCAGAGAAGTACAGTATGACGTTCTGTGCATGCAGAAATTAGGTCAGGTGCGATGGGGCGTTTGTCGGGATTTTCAACCTATTTGCCCGCCAGTACTTCCTTAGGATGTTTATATATATATATATATATATATATATATATATATATATATAAGGGCGTGTGTTTGCCTATGTTATCGTTGTAGACAGACTCCACTTGTGCCTGTTGACCCTGACAATGGTAGTTGTCTTCATGGATTCCTTCCAGCTTCCTGGGGTCGACATCTCTGGCGCTGAGGGGAGAGTTTTACTGTACTCCCTTACATCGCAAAAATACAATAGAGCTAATAAAAGAGTGGGGATCTTAAAATAAATAATCCCAGCGCTCGAAATGACTTTAGCAGCTGTGAAACGCAGCAGTGCTAGTCTATAAATACAGCGCTGATCTTCAAATGAGCTCTGCTTCATATAGCCACTATGGATAATGCATGGATTTAATGTGTTAAAGAGGGCACGGTGAGTGTGGAATGATACTGTGAGGTATGAAGGTGATGGGGCAACTGAGTTAGCACAAATGCACCATTATGAGTTCTGCATGGCAACCTGTGATTTGGCTCATGCACCTTTTTTAAGAACACTGTCAAAACATAAGAAATGAGGGAACGTGCAAGACAAGGACTAATGTCTCTGAGATATTTATGGTACATGGAATAAAGCCGTTGCCTTTTGTTTCCTTAAAGCAGCACTATGTAACTTTTGGCGCTCTAGCGGTTAATAAACAGAACTGCACACATCCCACGGAAGAACATTCCAACCGGAGCTACTACTCTAAGTTTATGTCTATGGCGATTCACGCAGGTATGTGTTATTCCGCAGCGGTGACGACCTACAATAGTCCAAATATAAGTACTTATTATAAGTGTACCGTAGTGATTCGGAATAAGACAAAAGGTTTGGAAGATGAATTCATGATGTACTCGCTCATTATAAACATTTTGCAAATTTTGAACACAGCAAAAGTTACATAGTGCTGCTTTAAAGGTGAAGAATGTAATTTATGCGCCACTAGTGGCACCAAACAGACCTGCGGAAATAATTGTGAACCAGTTTCAAACACACCCCATCTGCCATTGGTTAGGTAGTTCTGTTCCAAACTCACCCGTCAGTGACTCAAAAAACTGTTTGCAGTTCTATTTGGTGCCACTAAAGACACAGAAATTACTCACATTTACTTCACATTGGAAGTACTGCATTGGAAACATTCAAGTAGTTGTTAATATGACAGCAGTGCCCTTCTTATCTCACATTTGTGACTTTATATCACTGTTCAGAAGTTTGGAGTCAGTAAGATTTTTTGTTTTTGAAAAAGTTACTCAAGGTTTGCATGCTAAAATCTTCTTTTTTATTGCAGGAGATATAGAAGCAGATAACAAACATTTCGTCTTGCTGCCTTTGTCAGTCGTCAATGTTTTTGAAAGAAATGTTTTATGCTCAGCTTTGTGAAATATTATTAAAATGTAAAATAACTGTTTTATCATATTTTCTTATATAATTTATTCCTTTGATGTTAAAGCTGAATTTTCAGCAGCCATTACTCCAGTCTTCAGTGTCACATGATCCTTCAGAAATCATTTTAATATGCTGATTTGGTGCTCGAGAATATTTTTGTAAAAACCATGATACTTTTGTAATATTAAACATGTCTTTACTGTCACTTTTGATCAAAATAATGCATCCTTGCTGAATAAAAGTGTTACTTTTTTACAAATAAATAAATAAATAAAATCTCAAAAATTATGATTATATTTTAAAACTGCATCTTTATTTCTCAGAATTAGTGACTTTAAATTAGTGACTTTTATTTAAAATAAATAAATAAGTACATAAGTAAATAAAAATAATAAACACATCTTCATGAAAAAAATAGAATGAAATTCTGCAATTAGAATACAAGTTTAAGAATACAGTTGTGAATAAAGTAATTCTTTCCAATCAGATTTTCTAAATGCATCCTCTATCTGCCATTTGGACAAACAGGTAGACCGGCACCTGATTTCAAATTGGTTGAGAGGCACCACATGCCGCACTTCTGCTTTTATGCCGCTGCCATAAAACTACAGTGTTTACATTCTTTGGGGAAATCAACCCACGAATGGCTTACTTATAGTTGTCTCTGCAAATTAAAAAATGAATTAACATTGAAAAAACTGTGCACATCAAATTTAATTAGGTCCGGTGTGTCACTTCACAAAGATGTGAGCATTAATAATTTAAAGATGTGTGTAACTTTTTCCATGTTTAAATATTTTCTCCAATTCCACTTAATTGTGCGGAGACAACTAAAAATAAACCATTCAATAAACCAGGCTGTTTTCCTCAAAAAGTGTAAACACTGTGACTTCGTGCTGATATATTGTCTTGTTTGTATGAAGGTCTAAACCAGTCAAAAGATGTCTATAATTCATATTACCTGAAGACTAATGAAATAAATCAATTAAATAAATGAATAAATAATTGGTCACTAACAAAACATTTACTATGATATAATGAAATGCTGCATCTACCAAAAGACCATGCTAATCAGCCATGAACCCAATTTAGAGCAGGACTATTTGTTTGTTTGACCAATGGCAGACTGGGAGAATATTTGGGGAAACCACATTGTTTGTTTGTTATTATTATTATTATGATTACTACTACTACTACTACTACTACTACTACTATTATTATTATTATTATTATTATTATTATTGCATTTCTGTTTGATTCCACTAGTAGCACAGAAATGATGCAGCTTACCTTTCAATAATTCATAATAAAAGTATTGGCAGATTGAACCATGGTATCACAAGATGAAATATTATGTTTTCTCAATTTGCCAGATCTGTTTTAGAAATTCACCTTTATTATGCCCCAGTAAGAAAGGTGGATGATAAAAAGAAAAATCAGTTATATCTTCATGTTTCCAAAGACAATCTTTTTCATAAGACCATTAGAAGTCAGAG